ACTGCCGACTTGTTACTGCCAACCACACTACCAAGAAAACGGAGTTTCAAGGAAGTCATCTTCATGTCCCACAAGATGCTCTAAATCCACTGAGAAGCCAGAGGCAGAGCATACATGTATTATCATAAACAACAATGGAGAAGACAACCAAAAATTCAGACGTTATTGTTGTATGTACAAATTTTTTTGACGTTTAATTTTTAGAATAGAGGTCATACTGAAAATCTTTTAATTTGTATAAAACAAGACTTTTAGAATGTGTAAGAGAACAATAGAGGTCATACTGTAAGTCTATTCTAATTTGTATAAAACAAGACTTTTTTAGAATGTGTAAGAGTAACAATAGAGGTCATACTGTAAGTCTATTTTTAATTGTATAAAACAAGACTTTTTATGGTCGTGTAAGAGAACAATAGAGGTCACACTGTAGATCTATCTTCATTTGTATGAAACAACACTTTTGTGATGAGTGACTTTTCTAGAACAACAGAGGCAATACTGTAAGTCTATTCTAATTTGTATGATACAAGACTTTTATGACGTGTAATTTTTTAGAACAATAGAGGTCATACTGTTTTATTTTGTATAAAACAAGACTTTTATGACGAGTACTTTTTCTAGAACAATAGCTGAAGTCAATGCCATACTTAAGGGTTAATGACCCGCCCCAAGGTGAATATGGTGTGATAAAGCCTTGTCAGTTGCTATAACCACAGAATGAAGCCACCGAGTGAGCGCAGGCTTTATGAGGTGGTTATAGCAACTGACAAGGCTTTATCACACCATATTCACCAAGAAAGGGCAGGACATTAACGCTATTACCATATAGCTTCCACGATAGTCTATCCAAACTGATGCAGTAAGTGACACAATGCACATGCTGAATAGAACATAGAACATAGTTCCATCTGGAGTCACCTGAGGTCACTGGGTAGAGTTCACGTTAACTGGGTCACAGGCAGGGAACAGGTGTTCTTATGGGAGTCACCCGAGGTCATTGGAACACAACTCAAGTTATTTTTGGATTTTTTAGAGCTAGAGCCCTGTTCTATTGGGTCACCTGAGGTCATATGCGGGTGATTATTTGGGTTGTTTAATGTATGGATTGGGATGAAGAAATACCCGATTTTGACTCTATTTGTGACATTACGGCGTCATAAGGAATGTGGAATGGAGCCTTCTGATTGGTAAACATCACCTGGCTATATGATAATGTAAGTTAATCAACGTCAGAGCACTTGACTATAAATATTTATGTGTAAATATAAATTAATTTATGTATATATTAATATGATATATTATGAGGTGTCATGACTTAATCTGAGGAGGTCAGATGGAGTTCATTGTGCACTTTTGAACCCGGCTACCTGGGTGACCTGTCCCTCAGTGCATCGATGCTTTATGTTTGTTTTCATGTTCATGATTATCATTATTATTATTATCATTGAGGTATATTATTGGTAACCATGGTTCATAACCATGGTATATAGCTTTGATTACGTCATCAGAGGAGGTCAGGCAAAGTTAAGCGAGTTCTTTTTCAACTCAGATAACCAGGGTAACGTATTGTCAAGCAATGTTTTTTACGCCTACGACAGAGACAAATACAACAGCATGTCAGAATCATATCATATATACCGAACTCTATACCTTGCTCTGGAAAATAAACACGCAAACACACCACATAGAATTTGGATAGTCTTTCTTTTTATTTTCTTACTGATGCAGTTGTATGAATGAATGAATGATCTTTATTGCTAGACAGTTGTACATGGTACAATGTATGGCAAGGATGACAGTGTGGTCTTGACAATCATACTAATCAATTCCTGGAAACTAAAACTACATAAATACAACGTAAATGGAGTATTGACATGATGTGCATTATATGAAACATTTCTGTCTGTCACAATTTTTTTCTAAAGCGTTACATACGTATTGGCCTAGGTGCATAGATAAGGGGTCTGGGCATGACATAAGTAGACAGTTGGCAACCAGCTATTGGACCAGGGAAAGTCCTTGAATGGTTACAGACAGTGCTTATGATGAATAAAGATGATATAAAAGTTACGTCACACCATCTGCAGTACTTGAATTAAATCTACTTACTAGTCTACCACACCTCACCCAGGACTGAATGGACATATTTGTCCTAAGCGTAGAATTTGTCAGTAACTCTCAGAGACTGAGGCGGACCCTGTTCAGTTAAAGCCAGCTGGTCACTGACAGTAAAGGCAATAAGGAATTTCCTCACTGGTAAGTGATGATGCATTATTTTCTATGTGCCTCTGATCCAGCATTTTTTTAGCGTGGTGTGCAGTCTATAATGGGTAGGGCGGGCTTTCTTTGGGGCTCGATCAGCTCGATTCCCTTAAGTTTTCGGGTAGATTTTGGACTAAGCTAGGGAGTTCAATTAGAGCTACCATAATCCAGTCTAGTATTGAGGTTCGGCTAACTTCTGGCGTAAAAAAACTCTACTAACAAAGCTCCTACTGGCCTGTCAGTCAGTCTCTTTAGCTGGGCGCGGCAAAACTATTAAAGAGACTTGAAAGGAAGCTATAGGAGAAAAAACATTTTCAGAACAATGTCAATTTTATGTCAATCTAAAACTTTGTTTATTTTTATTTATTTGCACAACAGAATCAAGAAAATGAGAGAAAATCAATTTAAATCAATTGTGAAAAATAGTGACTATATGTCATGTGATCACCCCTAATTAGTCTACTTCACATAATCAAATATACACTGAGCAGGAATGGAGCCATTTTCTCCTTAAAGTGTCCAACTTACTACAACATAGAGTGTGATTAAGTTGTACATGTGTATTGCATATACTCAGCAATCACTACATACATTTTTGCCAATTTAACACTTTTGATTTCAGAATTCAAGCCATAGCTTTAAACCAACTAACGGTGTAGATAAAATTAGAGCTGTGCTCAGCCTGTTATTTCTGAGGTCTCCACTAATCCATGAGAAACTCAGCCATTACGGCTGGTAATTTAAACATTTCTTAGTCCCTTTCTATTGCAGCGTCCTTGAATACAGCAGATGACATAAGGCATGTTAATAAAACATTGTGAAATCAGTGGCTGTCCTTGGTGCTGATATTATGGCAGCTACATACTTTTCATCTGTGTTTTTTTTGTTTGCTTTGTTATGCTTTGTTAACAAAGACTGTGACAGGCACAGTGTTCTTACACCTAACACTGGTTTAGATAGAAAAGGAAACGTGTGATGCAATTGCTTTTTTTTCTATAGCAAACTTCACTTAGTCTATCGAAATCATCAGAACGGAACCAAATATGCCACATCAAATATTTCCTACATGGTTCTTCAGTATTCTAAGGTAAAAGTAAAGAAACTTAAATTAGTCCAACCAGGCATCATCTTGGTTTTTAGGCTCTGTTTTTTAATGTTTTTCACAGTTAAGCGTAGCAAAGAAACAAACCAAAATCAAAATCCCAAAATCATTTGACTGAAGGATGTCTGGAACAGCCTTGTCAGAGGAAACTACAGGTAAGGTTCATTTCTTTTTCAGCAGGGACATTCACAGGTATAAAAAAATAAAAAAAATATTAAAAAAATATTAAGAAATTGACATCTAATGCAATCTTGCACCTCAAAAGGTCGTCATAGATCCTTGCTAACATGGATGATTCTAGTAAAACTTTATTCCAACACACAATAATGAATGATACTATCA